ATGGTATAAGTAATTTGACCGGGTCAGGTCAGGTCACGGAGCTATGACGTCACAAGAGGAACAGCGTCCGGTACTATTTTTGAAAAGCGCCCGAACCACTATTTTGCTAATTCTTGTCACCTCAATGGGAATATGCAGCAATATTAGCTTCTATAGGGAGCAAATGGACCTCCCAAATCCAAAAATACAATCAGATTTCAAAAATTTACATTTTTATTTTTCGAATTTCTGCCGCCGACTGTGACCTTGCCGACTTCCGGCGCTCCCAACGCGCCATTTTTAGAGCTAGGGAAACGAAATACATACCAAACGATAGAGAATTGATCAAGGAACACGATAGTGAAGGTTTCAAGTCGATATCTCCCACCGTTTTGCCGCAATCGCCGCCGAAAGTTGAAAAAAGTCTATTTTTCCGAAAATTTGACCTTTGACCGGTCAAAAGTAGGTCAAATGTTGACCTGGGACCAAAAAATATACCACCAATCGCGAGATCTCGTTGAGAGCAATCCGTTGGTTTTTTCCGCTAAGCTCTACGACCTTCCGTTTCGAAACGCCGGGGGGTCGTAACAACCCCCCCCCCCTGGTCGTTCGTGTTATGAGAAATGGCCTGGTCGTGCGAGGGTTAAGACGCCTCATGTCACTTCCATTAAGGTTAAATTTGCAGGCAAGCTAGCCCCCTTTTAATCAAAATCAGAAAGCTCCATGAGGAGACGATTCAACCGAAACACAATTAAATCTCCCCACCTCAAAGTTCCACTAAAAGACGAAAGACATGAAGTCCTGATAAGGCAAAATGACCAGCTTGCAGTTCCAATTCTCTACAGGATAAAAACGGCATAGCATCACGTCACGGATTTAATAAACGTCAGACCTGTCTCCGTTTGAGCGATTCACTGAGCAAACGAAAGTGGTGCTGACAGCGATAAATATAGACACAGACAAAAGAAGACAGAAGTAGACAGTTCTCAGCGTGATACCGGACGGGAACGGGTGTGTCCACGTCCGCACCCATTCTGTTCATTAGTGAACGGGTGGAGACAGTCTGAGTCTGTACCACCCACCCATTGTTCCGTCCCTCCGCCCACTGAGAGGGTCACCCGGACCATGGGGCGCGTGCCGACGCCTGCAGGGTCTCGAGCACCCTCCCTCTGTGCTGAGAGAGACACCACGGGGGTCTGCCGTCCCTTCTAGACACCCCTGTGGCGCTCATCTCAACTGACGCTGTGTGCCGCACTGAAACAGTGAAGTCGTCCTTCAACTGAATGGACCGCTTGCTCAGCAGTGGACAGTGAGGCCGCGAGTGCGCGCCCAAACAGAGAACCGTTTGTGAGCGGTGCGACTGTCTCGGGCGGACCCACGACGCCCTCTCAACGGCTCTATTGAAGGCAGCGTAAGCGCATAGGGACTCAGTCAAAGCACACAAGCTAACCGTGCGGCATCATTGACCAGTGGCCACTGACCAGTGCAGTGACTGTGAACTGTTAAGCCTTGTGTAAAGCCAGTGCAGTGAATGTAATCTGTAAAGCCGTGTGCACAAAGAGATTGCTGACATATTGTTTCCAACATGTCTATAACCAGAAATATCGACGATCCCACAACACCAGCAGTCAGCAGCAGTTACTGGCGACATCAGCCGCACTTACAGCCGATCCATCACCATCGCAACACACTCCTGTCTCCCCAGCACCCACCGCCGGCTGTACGACAGCTCGACAGCGACAGCCACCGCCCACTGACCCAGAAATCCCTCAGCACCGCCACCGTCGGGCCCAGCAGGGTGTGAGAACAGCTGCACCGCAGCGCCTGAAACCACCGCAGCCTTCAGCGCTGAATTGCAGGCCGATCGGGCACCACGCGCAACCGAGCCGGAGTCACTCCACTGTCGCCAGTCGACCGTGCCGCGGGTATCAACCCCACCAGGCCAAGGGATGACCCGAGGCTCTCCAGGAGTCCCAGTGTGCCGATACAGGCCCGAGGAGACCTGGTAATTGTTTTTCATGCATCATCGTCAGCGGGTGGATCGTCAGGATGCTAACGACATTCCGGTGAGCACGCGCAGCGGGAGGGCGCGGGTCTCGGTTTAATCGTCGGACGCTAATGCAGGTGGGCGGAAAGCGGTCCAGAGACGATTCATTCCAGGGATGAAGGAGATGGGAAAGTCGGGACGAAGGACGGCGGTTATTGAAGAGTAATGCAGGGAGATAGAATCAACATCATCGAAAGTGTTCGTCATCGTTTATGTGAAGGAGGAATTATGCTTATTGGAAATTGGAAAGTTGATAGGATAGTTGAAATTATTATAGCAGAGGAGATGCAAAATGAATTACAAGAATGTTTCGCGAAAAGGGCAGAGTTTATCATGCTTTAAACCTGAAATATTGGCATTCTAAAAGGACGAATATCACATGAAGTAGGATAAAGGAATTCTGGAACAAAATGAACTTCAACTGGAAAGCAGCCGCACCGATTCAACAATAGCTACCTCAGAATCACAACCATTATCCTTAGAGCCCCCCATCTTGAAGTGTCGGGCGCCCCACACGCACCCATTATCACCTTCATCACCAACATCAGGTCGTCCACCTCAGTATCAGCCCACTGTGCCGTAAGACCATATCGCCGGTCCCGAGACCATATCACGCAAAGGCGTCACCTCACATATACACCTCCCGCCGGTCCACCGACCCGGGCTGACGGTCTATCGGTCCAGACCATTGGTCTATCGACCCAGGGCGGCGGTCTATCAGTCCAGATCACCTCACCCGGCCCCAAGTTTGGCAGCGAGCCGCCGTAGATAGTCGAGCGACGCCAGGGCGTCCTTGACTAGGTGCATTCCACGTCGGGCGCCCCGCCCTACGCCCCAGCCCAACGACCTGTCTGGTCGACCGGTGACGGGGGTGACGTCACAGAGTCACGTGACGTGTGACGTGTTGGCATGGCCAGTGAACGTTGGCATGGTGCACAAATACGTGACCTGTGATGACCCTGAGGGCGATCTGACGTGACGCTATAATGTGAGAATGTGGACGACTGCAAGCGCACGTGGTCGAAAAACGTGACTTGTCACGTGCAGACACCTGACCGCCACCGCACTTTCAGTTATTCGTGTTAACGGTATTCGCTTACGCTTTTCGCGTCTTTACTTCACTGGTTCGAATGCGTTCAAACTGACATATCAATGTCGTGGAAAACGAAGTCTCGCGCCAACCAGCCGTCTCACTCCGAGCGTTCGTTTCCGGTATCGTCTACCGGAGAATCAAACGGCCGTGATTCGTACCGTCACGCCGGGCAATGGGTCATTGTCTCTGGACTCTGGTGGTGGGATGCCTGGTGGGTGCAGATGGGTCACCTGCGCCGCCTGTGGGGAGCTGATCGGCCGGGTTTCATCGGGTTAGGGCTGACAACCCGACTGATGAGTTCATTGGAGAGCGTTCCATGGGGTCCTACGGCCCGGGCCAGCCGCACAGGAATCAATATCGCGGCGGAAACGGGCCGATGACACGGGGCTGAGCGAGCGGTGTTTGTTCAATTGAGATGACTGGTGCGGTGGGGAGGGGAGGACAGGGGAGGGATCAGCAAGGGACCCAGCGCGGAGGGTATGGGGTTCAGTCGTTTCGGCATAGAGGCTCTGGGATTTAGGAGTGCCGATTACAAAGCCATGAGAGTGAAGAGCCGTGTAGCCACTTAAGAAATTGCACAAGCGTTAAATGAGGCGGATTGGCTGCTGCCAATGAGATTTGGCTTACCACCGCCAAGGTTAGGATACAAATAAGAACTTAGCAATGCCAACAAAAGCAGCATTTCTTTGAAATAAAACATGCAAAGCCACTGTCCATCTCCACTCCCTCTCAACAATCTCAACAGGGGAATAAATCACCTCCTCAGCCCGTCAGCAGCCATGTAAATCTGACGTCACAAGTCACGTGTCTGCCGGCCGGAGACGTCGGCGGGTTAGCGCCACCTGACGAATTGCAGTATCCAGCGTCTGCTTGGTGTTACCTCACAGTCGGGCGTCAAAGTCCCCGAGTAAATGACTTTCCAGGCCCAGTCGTTTGCAGCTGCTGCAGACATGGAGCCAGACAGTCACAGATGACTGTCACAGCGTCGAACAATGCACAGCTGCTAATATGCATGGCATTGTCATTACACAGCAACTCAAGTCCGCCTGGAGTTGATTACGGACAGCTATCAGCGCGGCGTCGCCGGCATTGTTTCGGCTTGGTCGGAGTGCAATATCGTTCAAACGTAACCCGGAACCGCGAGGTCGGAGGACAGCGAAAGAGCGACTTCAGAGAAAGCAAGGAATGCGCGAATCACCGCGCAGTCAACAATGAGTCATCGCCGACGGAAGTCGCATTGCGCAAGAGCTGACTTACCGGTTCGGTACAGGAGTGACATTGTTGGTCGCAAGAACCATAAAGTAGCGTTCCGTCGAAGTGAATGATGCATCGGATAGCTTCGCCACTCGCCAGCCAAACATCGAATAGGCGAATTTGGATGCGAGCCAGGCACATCTTATCGTCTTTCTGCTGCGCCGTATTTGGTAGCGACCCCGCAGATTTATCACGATCAGTCATCAGGTACTTTTCTGGAAAGCCACCGTCCTGCGGCTTTGTAAGCAGGGCCTACCGAAATCGGCCCTAATTTAGGTGTTCGGTCACGCACAAAAGCCGAGCGCTACAGCCACAAATTATGCAAAGTAGGGTATTACGCATAAATACCACATTACATGGCCGTTACACGGGCGTCATGCCTATCCTTAGTAGTAAGCACTGATAGCTTCATCATCTAGCTTCAGCTGTTCCCAAGCGCCGCCATCCCAGATAAGGGGAAGCAGCGTTCTCAATCTTGTTCCATCCGTCTCGAATTCGTACCGTACCTCGTTGTCACCTTCACCCCTCCATCCAGTCATCTGTTCCTCAGGCTCACTTCTAGTCATCGCCTCTCAAGTCTCCACTTAGTCTTGTCTGCCCGACCCAGTGGACCCCCGGAACACTCACCGAGTCTGCTGGTGCGCCTGCGCCTGGCGTCGCTGCTGCCTGGCCGCCTGGCGTCGACACAGTCGCCGGTGCAGCTGGCGCCAGAGGTGCCACGCTAGACGCTGGTGACGCGGCCGGGGCCGACAGCGCGCGCGCCGCCGCGCCGGGGCCACCGCGGCGCCCTCAGAGTCGGCCGGCGCGGCCCGCTGCCACCGGCGCAGCGCCCGGTCCAGCTCCTGTAACACACAGAAAGAGAGGGTGGTTAGAGAAGAAAATGAACAGTTACGGAGGAAATCGCAGGTCACTGCAGAAGCAACACTGACACCATGTTGGCTGTCTCTCAGGCAGCGTCGAGGCAACGTACTATTCAGGTCACCTAGGTTATCAGGATCAGCAAGGTCGGCGGCATGGTCAAACGTATCTTGCATTATCGGAGATGCAGGTCAGACTACGACTCTCTACTTCAGTTATCACACACATGCAAAGGCACAAAACCAAACTTTCTACTGAGATCAACGATACTGTCGACCGAAACGCAGACGACTGACAGCGGCGCCGGGCGAATCTTTGACAGGAATCTCGACGGTGAAGATTCAGATCTTCCAGATTGGCGAGGGCGAGACGGACGCATATATCACCAGAATAGACCAGAAGCGGTCTCCAGAACTGGGTGTGAAGTTTTACAGCCCTGCCATCCATTCGCACTGAACTCACATTGTAAGGGATGCAGCCGACAGTACAATGATGCAACGGGTCGTGAAAGTCGTGACGAAGCTCACAAGAATGTCAAGGTAGCTGCGGAAGGATTAACGGCGTGTCACGCACTTGATTCTACCCTCGCTTAACACCTTCATTAACACCAAAAGTAGTCGACTGCCGCGCTTGACAGCTCAGTGGAGCCAAAAACAAACAGCTCTAGCCTCATCACGATCGCCCACAGTCGAGTTCACGGACAGAGAACCACCTAGCAGCAAACCACACCGTGTCACGGGTCAGCAGCCAGGCGTCCGACATCACCGCTCTGTCCCTGAGCGGTGTCAGACAAAAGGTGTCTCACGCGGCCCTGAACTGCGGAGTTAAAACGCCACCGACGTGCCGAAGCGTTTGAGGATCCCGACAGCGGTGAGAGAGGCACTTAAGATGAACTCGGGGAAGGGAACAGTGAGGTAATCAGACAGGCCCGACGTAGGTTCGGAGGAACAGGTGTAGGACGGAGAGGGGACAGCTTCTGAATGGATTCAGTTGAGCTTTACTGTTCTGGGATGTGCAGCCACGACGCTGAATAAGTCGTGTCGCTGTCGCGATCGAATCGAGCCAACAGGTGGTCACCGCACGGTGAATGCAAAACAGCGGGGAGTCAGAACAGCGAGACACCCCGACCCATGTCCCAACCATGCCCTGTCACTTGGCTGGCGACCGCAATCGACCTGCGGTGACCCACAGACGAGGTTAGCGCACCCACTGCCCGCAGAGGTCACGGTAAAACACAGCCCACCGCACCGCATCGCACAGCACCGCTTCATCTGAATGTCCGCACCGTTTTGTGCTCATCCCACTTACGCAAATCGTCCTCACAAATCACCTAGTGAGACTTCGGGCGACCGCGCCCTCCGCCACCTGCCGTCGCAACTGTCTCGAGCGGTGTGTGTGAGACCCGACCTGGCGACCCGCCCCGGTCACCCACTAACGGTGAGGCGTCGCACAGTTCCGCCCACGACTGCCGGGCCGGGTGGCAGCAATCAATTACCTCTGGTAATGGCACTGCGGCGGTGGCGACCGGACCACCGGCGCGCTGGGAGCCGAGGTCCCACTGGAGACGGTCAGCGGCGCTCCGCACAGGTCAGGGGTCACCTCGCCCACGGACAGCGCGGCCAATGTGTGTCATGCGTGCAGGCTCCCAGGCGCCCCGCGCAGCGGCCACAGCGTGGCTTCAAGTCATCGTTCGAATTAAGCAAGAAACGCTGACCCGGGTCGAGTCAAGCCGCTCTTGGAAATCACGTAACTCAAGGAAGTGGCGCCAGTTGGACAGGCGCACGTGACAAACGTCGAGAATTAACGTCCACTTGACATTCACCATTCACTCATTTCCATTTCTCGGACAGGCCACGAGGCACACGCATATGTTGATCAAACGCCTTTCATAGGGAGAAACTCGGGGCGTGAATGGACCGTCGTTTACGAGCGCTGCCTCCTGCAATGACGAACATGTTTGTCCGACTGACAATCTGTTTGTGGCCGCTCGCAGCATGTCGGAATCATGTTCAGGGGATGGGAACCGGTCGAAACTCAGCGGATCTAGCGTTCACAGCGGGGCACCCTTCCACTCCCCTTCACTGACAAGATAATGAATCTGTTTCCTATCCACCACCAAGAAGGCTGTACTGATGGTACATCAGGCTACCCACCAACCGTAGTTACAACACAGACATACGCAGCTCAGCGCAGTGAGGCAGCGGGTCTGCAAAGCCGTGTTCTCCTATCGGATGACCGGGCCAGGCGGCGTCAAATATGGTGCCGGAACTGAGAGATAATAGCTTCTAGCCGTATACGGAGGTGCAGGGACGAAGCAAAGTGCATGCAGAAGATGTCCAGCCAGAGGACACAGGTAGGATTAGCACCCAAAGAGGGTCCTCCACGCGGCCTTCAATACGGTCCGGTGCACGGAATTTCACAAAGGAACTCTCACTTTCACGTGGATTTCATTCAAATCGAGGCATCCACCGTGCAAAGTGAAGAACAAAATAGCTCTGCCTTTTCTTTTACCAGCCAATCCAGGTTTGGTAAACAGGATCACTGATTCAACCGCATGATCTTATAATTAGGTGTGGTGAAAGCTCTGTGCTCTAGATCGTGATCGCGAAAAGGTCGCCATTCATTGTTGAGTATGGATGGTTTTGGTGTCACACATGGATGTAAGAACCTGCAACTTCTGACAACTATATCATGACTCGATCAGGATACACATTTTCAATCGATACTTTGATCAGAAATATTCCACCATATTACCTTATCTCTAACAGTAACATATCACACAGAAAGACAGATAAACTGATGACAATTTCAGTGTCCGACTGATACTGGGAACGGTACGCTCCCGTACAAAGTACAAACAAAAATAAACATGTCAGCCTCAGCTTGGTATTTTTGTGAGCCTCGTGCGGCACCGTGGGACCCAAATGCTCCAGTATCGGTTGAATCCGGTACCGATGCCCACGTCTTCCTACTGACCTGGATGGGTGAAGAAGTGATCTGGCGATTGAGAACAGTTCCGTATCTTCGACCACTTCGTGACATTTCGACATTGTCTCGATGGCACAGAGCACGGTTGTTCACACTGTCAGGTCAGGTTGGGCAGCCTAAAGGAAAACGTGCGGTACCGACCGTGTGAGCCCGCCTCTTTGAGCAACTGTCGGTGATTGAGTTGATCAAGCAGCAGCCGGGTCGCACCTTACAGCCATCGGGGAGACGTGAGCCCCGGTCACGACCACCACAAAGGCCGAGACGGATCGCGTTGGTCTCGGACTGCCCAAAAGACTGGGTGGGACGGAGCTGCCAGCTCACAGTTTGACCCTTCGACTGGCGTCCGCTGTCGCTCATGGACGCACGGAAGGAGTGGAACCAAGCAAGGACGAAACATTCGCTAATTATGTGCAATGGGGATGATAGCATGGTTATCAGGGCGCTCGGAAGCAGCGACCTTCGGCGTTTCTACGCAGTAGCGTCTGAAAGGCTTAGCCTTAGAGCATAAGAAGCTGAAATGCATAGCTTACCGGATAGGCAGCAAACCACGAGTGCGCATTGGCTTGTTCTGGAAGCAGATATCATTAAGTGCCGAGCGGTGAATTTGGATATAAATGAAGTAGCTTCTCAGGACTATTGTAGTCGTCCCGTAACGAGGTTATTCTCGCCGCAGAGAAGCAACAGCACCCCTGGGTGTCTGTCGAGTCCGAGCCTGGATGATGAAGCGGTAGCCCGGCCACGGCTCGGGTGCGCGTTGTAAATTCAACCAGTCATGAGTTCGGATCATAAATTAAACCGGCAGCGGTAGGCACGTTCGTACAAAGTAGAACTAATACCAGACTGGCATACGTTTGGAGATTTGTACTCACGCTAGTGATATCCTTCCACGCGAGGGATGATAATCCCATCATGGCGGTAACGAAAATATCATGCTGGAACCACAAACGATGAGATAGGTATCGTCAGGTAGAAACCCTTGTGTGGATACGGAAATACGGTAGAAATGAAGGACTGACAACCAGGAAAACGGTTCAACCTATAACAGACGAAAAAAAAAACGAAAATTCCTCTAAAGATACGAGTCAAAACCAGCTTTAAGGCTGGTTTTTAATTCATCAGAATTCCATTCATATGCCTGACCGGGTCATCTCCGCCATACTTCCCTCCTGCGGTGAATGCAACTAGCCCATCACCGTTATCGTTATCTGCGCGGTGCGTCGGCCAATTTAGCCACATAGTGCGCGCTATGTAAGCCCGCTGCGTGCGTCCGTGGCCCCACTATCGGAGGTCATACCAGGGACAATATGTGCACACCGGGTCATATTACTGGGAGGTCGAGGCGAGAGGACAATGTGTGGCCCGGAGGTCGTCTCTCGCTGATTCATCACCACCAGGCGGCACCCAGTGAGCTAATTAAGCCCGCTTTAGAGAAGAGCGGATGCGTGACGTACGGGACGTAACGAGATGCTGCCAAAGGCGGCGGAGCGGCGGGCTGCGCTGACCCTGCCAGATTGGGGTGCCGCGTGGGCGACGGGTCACGGTAGTGGGTGGAACAGTGTCCCCGACGGATGCCCAGAGATGGAAGGGAAGATCGTCCCGCCCCCGACCCTCCCAGGGACCGGGAGATGACGGGCGATGGCAGGAGGCGGGTTCGGGTTGGCTGGAATACAAAACAGCCGCGAAGGTCAGCGTGGTCACAGACAGCGGGCAGTCTCAAAGCCAGCCTATAGCCGTGGCGTCAGACTCACGAGGCTTACTTGTCTTGAAATAAGTAACATGCTTGAATAGGTGAGGAAAGAAATGCTAGCGCTGGGAAAAAAATTAGGAAGGTATGAGTGAGTAACATCGTGCTGGAAACAATTATGAAAGGGCGCATAAATCACCATGTGTATCTTGCAGCCACTGTTCAGGAGTCAGAAAACAGAAGCTCGAAACTGCATCGTCAATCGTGCTCCAGAATCCGAGAGTTTGAGGTGATGACAACAATCCTCCGCGTTCCCACCGGGTCGGGAAAGGTCAGAGTCCCACGGCAGCAGCGACGACACCCGGCGGCGGATCGGCAACTAATGTCCCCCTCATTGGGGTCAACTCACACCCATCGGTCGCTCACACTCCTAGAACGAGCGACGAAAGCCTTCCTCCAGCTGAGTGAACACGCTGACATCAGTTCGTCGCACACGTTACACCGATGAATGGCTCGTCGCGTCGTCGACCCACCGTCGTTCACCGTTCAACCGACCCAGTTACATTCACTTCATGTTTATATCTCTGTTTACCACCCGTTTCTCGCCCCGTTCCATAGAACCGCGGCGTTCGCTCAATGCACCTTCGTTACCCGCAGACGAGCGCTCGAGTTTTTCCCAGCGCCAGCTCGTTCGAAAACGATAAACAGCCGAAACAGTTATAATGGTGGCGATTTTCGGCACTGTCGCCGCGAGGACGAGGCGATAAACAATCAATGTGTCGGCGACAGAACGGTGTTCTGGCGACGGGGCGCCGCGGTTAAACGGGCCGGGCAGGTCAGGGTGGGTGGGACGGCCCAGCCGGGGTCGTGTCAACTGTCGGCAATGGAAGCGACAGCAATATTCCCTTGGCATGTGAAAAAGCAACGCCGGGACCAAGTATATGGTGTTCGAGTATCTGAGGTAAGATTTATTTTCCTGTGGTACCTAAGGTAATTTACCAATTGATTTTAATATGGGCTCAGTTTTTGTTTCATGTAGACAAGTACAACGGCGGCGCTCTTAATCCATTCGGTATCATCATTAGATCCGGAGCAAACCCTTACAATCTGGCGATTGACTACCGCTAATGCAGTTATCGCACCCGGTATTTACCTCGGCTCTCTGCTACCGCAGTGGACAAACCCCCTGACGCCCGCTGTATTGTCTCTCTGTCAGGGTCCATCACAGTGCGCCTCCTTACTGAGTGACTGGTCTGTTGTTCACCTGTACCGACATCTGTCTGATGAGCGCCATTAGCTGGGACGTCATTATTGGGACGGGGACCATCATACAGCGAACCCTCAGCGGCAGTAGCGGCCTGTGGGGAGGGGATTAAGGCAGATGGAAATGCAGTGCATTAGGTGGAAAGGTCGAAAGGTTTAGTGCGCCAAAATGATTTCAGACAGGTACTGCAGTTGAAGTGAGCCAGATGGTCGGATCGCAAACCTGTTCAGAGAGCCCAGTCTAGTCATCAGGTCGTCAGAAGGTCAGGTCACGGGTCCGTGAGCAATGAACAGGTCAGATGGTCACATATCCTAGGTGACCAGAACGGTCAGGTGGTCGTATTTCGGCGGAAGACGCACCAGCACACGTCATGCTGTCCCTAATGATCAGTAGATCACCAATAAATTCCGCCACCGAGGAAAGTACGACAGGAAAATTATACATCGGCGCAACTATGTAAGTTATGACAGGCCACGCGCGGACATTGGGAGCACGTCGCAGTGCGGCGGATCTGCGCCACAATAACAGCGTGCGCCAGTTCTGTCATCAATCGCCGCTCGGCCAAAAGGTGCTCCACTTCCCCAGACCGTCTTTCTGCCCAGTGCCAGAGCAGCACCGGCGAACTGAGATCCATTAGCACCCAGCACACAGAGCAAACGTGCTAAAAATGGGCCGCCAACCTCGTTACCGTCCATGTCTTGTCCATTTGGCAGCAATTGGCAGCGCTGTCATCTCACACCAATTAAGACACGTGTTCTGTGGGGCAGTGGCCCGTTTCGGGGGCACAAATGTGGTGCGCCATTTGGTCACGGGACATAAGGAGGTGAGTATGAGATGTGGTGAGAAACGCCACAGCGAGAATGGGGTCGGACTGAGTGGGTACAAGAGTCCACCAAAACGAAAGATGACAAAACAGCTAGCACCATCAGGAACAAACGGTAACCATGTATCACAACTAATAGCTTTCTAAGTTAAAAGATGATATGTTGTCGCTTGAAATGAACTTCCTTTCATCATATGAGAGCTAAGCACAGAAGTTCAGCGTTTATTCCCCACACATAAATCCTTAAGCGGAACCACTAATTCAGACGTTCCAATCAGTGGCTACCAGAGCAAGATCTTCGCCGTCCCCAAAACATCTCATCCAGCACAGGTTTGTCGGCATACCGCCCGCCGGAGCACCGTCGCCTCTCCGTCGTTCCGGCCGCTCCACCATGATCGATGGTGCTCCGACGCCAGCGACGATTAGCGGCCGTGTGACCTGACCTGACCTGACCCGGCCACCGCCGCCCGCCGACCAGAACACCCGTAATGGAGCGCCGACAGTGTGCGGGGCGCCGCCGAGACAAGCGGGAGGCCAGGAGGTATTCAGAGCAAGAGATTGGGGAAGATGGAAGAGGGAGGTGAAAGAGAACAAGGTGATGGAAGAGAGGCGGGTGTGGGAGAGGGAGGTGAAGGGTGGACGGGGAGGGTGAAAAGGAATGCGCTATGATAAAGGAGGTATTCACCCGTTAACTATCGGATGTTGGCGATAGGACCTGAGTGGTGTGACGTCAGACCGACCGCCACCGCTACCGGAGCGGGTGACAGCGTGGGAGGTGAGCAATCAAGCGAATTGACAAGAAAGAATGAGTAACTCAACAGCTTGACGACTTGATTTAAAGTGATGATCGGAAACGCTTAAAACTACTGTGTTTAGTAAAAGAGATCCCAAAAATGCGATTAAACCCGGCTCTCTACAAAGTACGTCGCATCCGTTCGTGGCTTGCCACACTTTGAAAACAGTCAAACCACTGTTGCATTAATGTGTGACGCTAGCAATGCATGTAGTAAATATGAGCGTATCCTCACAACTACACTTGAAAATCGTTCCCTCGTCAAGCATGTACTTCATGTTTTCTCGTTGAGCATTCAGGTCGGCAGCGCCACTTTCAATAGAGAAACTGTTCAGGACGTGCTACCGGACTAATGGCGAGCTTCAAGTGTAACCGCCGATCGTATCTGCAGTTTCAACGTGAGCATACTCGCTGACTTCATGTGCTTGTTACACTGACAGCAGTTTCACTGCGGGGTTTCAAGTGCAACAGAGGTTCACATCCGGTTTCATCGTTCAAGATAGCGTAGACACTAGACAATCCACTGGCCTGTCGATTTCCATTGGCGAACATGTGTCATGTTATCTTTGTTCAGGATCAGAGGAGTGGGGGTTTTGATGTAATCCAGTCTTAGATTAGGCAAAACCGTGTGCCAAACACCAACTGGTTTAATCATTCGACACGCATGCAGGCTGCAGCACAGCTATCACTAAATACTGAATATTGATAAGATGCATTCTTCTTCAGCTACGATAAGATAGGACAGCTCTATGAGAACAAAGTGCGAAATGTCTCAGCAGCTGCTTCATATGTAGTAGACTGTGTCTGCCACTCAATTTGAGGCTCTCTGTCTTTAGATGAGGCTGACGAAACGATTCTGTTCTCACGGAAAATATGAGCGGAACAATCAAAACGCACTGAAGGCATGCAGACTTTGTTACGGCAGACGTTTTCGTTGGAAACCGCAGGCAGCTCAGAGCGCCCCATGATGGATTAATTATGGGAACAAGAGAAAGGACAGTAAAAGCGCAGACAAAACCCCATATTCAATAATAGACACTCGCATCAACAAAGAGCCGGTGAAATGCCTCTTTAGGCACAAATTCCACGAGCGCAAGGAGTCGGAACCCTTTGGTCCGATATTCTCTCGGCTGGGAGCTACGTTCAGGCTCGCAGTCGGGGGCGAGGTGGTATTACCGAGCTCAAACCGCACCGCACGTCATAACTCGCCCCCTGCCACCTGAGGTGCGCCGTTTCATTAGAGGGCACTTTTTGTCCAGTAGGGGAGGAGCTGATAACTCGTATTTCACGTGCAAACCGAGGGACCGTGGCTTTGTGCTAATGCGGTTTGCGTGCGCTGGCATACCGCTGAATCGACCAGTTTTTTCACAACAATGTGTAACGATGAAAATGATGACATGGGGGAGGATATCGATGGCTGAGGTGCTAAAAATACCCTAATGTGTCACCTAGTAGCCCTGCGAGGCGTGCCGTCTAGCGAAAGGCAGGCATTAGTCGGCACAGTGTCGCTGTCACCGGCCAGGGTCACCACCCCAATAGCGTCTGGCGCAAAGTATGAAAGAAATACCTACATGGCTGTCGATAAAGACAAGCCACCGAATCACCTCCAAAACAGTGCACTGTGGAACTTTAAAATGCCACCATGGCAACCAATTGTCGCTGAAAATAAATATTGCAATAGAACGTGGTGGTAAAAGTGGAGCTCTATAACACCAAAGCTCGCCCACTCGCCTAATGACGCTGAATGCAATCGATTTGGTCACCACCATAGCAAAAGGTTCGCTAGTCCTCTCTTTTTACAGACCCTGTCACGACTACCCGTTTCAATGAATGAGAAGGCGAGCTTCACAAAATGGCATTCCTCCCGATGTAGTTCTGAGACGACCGAGACCGCTTCACCGCGACCCACCCTTCTGAAAGGCTTCCCGCTGAGAACGGCCATCCCCAGCACGGCCACCGTTCATTGACTCTGCGAGTCGCGGCTCTGACTCACTCACCGTCATCAGTTTGGCCTCCATGATTCTGCCGAGTCAGCAGCTGCCGAGTGGCGACAAAAACGCGACTAGAACGGTAGGAAGTCAGGCACGGAGGTCCCACCGACCACCGTAGGAGCCTCGCACCATCGCGCCGTCAGCGTCACAGATTCCGTTAGAATCGTCCTCACGGTTGAAACACGCGGATCACAATTTAAAGCGCAGCTTTGATCAGTGAACGTCACCGGAAGTAATCGAGTTCCGGCGGGTCCTGCGCTGTTAGGGCGACCTTTTGTCCTCACTATCACTCCAGCTCAGTGAGCGTCTTCGGAGGGGCCCCTCTCTTTTCCGAGTGTGCTCCCGTATCCGTGTCCCCAAATATCGCGCTAACTCTCCACTTCGCGTCTGTCTCAACTATTCCGTTCACTCTGATCGAGCTCGTCCCGAAAGTGGCATTCCCACAACACTACCACACAGGCACTGTGGGGTCACCACTCCCTCCGAAAGCTCCAGAGCGACTCGTCACCGCTCCTCCGGTCCACACCGCTCGTCGTACGCTGCGCGGTCCGGCCGTCGCCCTCCCAGCACGCACACCAGGACGCTACTGACGGGTGACGGCGGCGGCGGCGTCGGCGGTAGTGGGGGATAGGGAGGAGAGGGAGGGAGGGAGGGAGGCGAAATCAGCTGGCCGCCGGGCCGTCGTGCGCGCGCCGAAGGGCGTCGTCTGATAGCCAAAGGAGGGGAGACGGGAGGATAAGGAGACCCTGAGAGACCCTGAGAGGCCAAATTAGGTCCAGGAGACAGGCAGCAGGGCTGTTTGGGTGTCGGGGTTTCCAGGGGCCACGCCTACCGCAATCTCAGGCATCCGCTCTGCGAATGTCAACATCCACCAAAACAGAGCAAACCCTTTCGTCGTACCGCGCCCAGACCCCGTTGTTTTCACCTCGTACCCTCAGACAGGACCACCCAATGTGCCCGGCCCGGAGCGCACCCCTCTGAGCGGGCGGGGACCGGGCCAGGTGCGAACTCCCCCCGCCCCGCTCGTGGCAGTCAGGAAAGTATGCGCCACGCGCGCCGTCTCACGCCCACGCCCAGCTGCGCAGCCGTCACGGCGCGGCTGGAGATGAATATTTCACACGGTACTGACCACGACTAACGACCAGACCAGTCCCGACCTGACCCGCGGCGACCCGGGTCGGCCGGGCGGGGCTCGGGGGGTCAGCCTTCATTCACGATGGTCATGAGTGACCCACCGGCCCGCAGAGGTGCCCTGGGGTGCGCAGGGGAAAGGGGCGCCCTGGAGTGACCACAAAGTTGGTCATTGAGCCTGTGAGCTGCATCGGAGGTCACCTGACCGCAGTGAGAGACGAGCTACTACTGGGAACGTTACACACCATTGACATCAAACAGCAGAAAGGATCAACCACTTGAGAAACAGCAATGGACAGAAAAACTCACTAGTCACTGCTACAGCGTATGTAGTTTTTTGTCATGCTGCAATATTGCACCTGTCCAAGTCAATGTCACACTGCATTTATCAACCGCACACGGCGACAGAAATAGCGCCACAAAAACGTAAAGTCCACAATCCGTGCAGGAGTGTAAGTATGCGTGTGTTGCACATAAGATCACGTTTCAGGACTTATGACGAGGGCCCAGGTCACGCTGGGGGACTGGAAAGTGGCATCAATATCGGTCACCCGGTGGATCGCTGTTCCGGTTTTCAACCGCCCCAGGCTAACCACAGACAAAGGTGGATCGAGTGTGAAATCAGAAATGACGATCGAACACTTTAACTCGTGCCCTGAGGCAGGGCACGAGCACTGGGTAACTACGAGAGAAGCGAGAAACGAGTTGATAGATCGTTAGAAAAGTTGTTACCTGCATTTTTTCATCGATACCTCAGGCACGAGGGGAATGATCAAACGTTGATCGATCCTACCTCACCACACACGTGGATGAAATTTAAGCTATTACGCAGGTTATAAGCTCGAAATAATGGGGGTCATGACAGAACATGACCACATTACTCAGAACGTTTCACGTAAAACACTTCCATTCGATCGAATCGACGAAAGCATGGAGCCAGCAATTCATAACCGTTATCACCGGGAGCAAACCGAAATTGAAAGCCCACGCCTGGGATATTAAAGGTCGCATCACCACGGGCTCATCATGATCGAAGCGGCTCTGGCTGATCTAGGGACTTTCGCTGTTGAGCTGGCACTTTCTCATGAGGCAATCTGAGCTCGTGGCGTGCGGCTGGGTGGGGTGTGCGAGTGTCGGTGGGTGACCTGTGACACGGGGAGTGACATAAGAGTGACTATGAGAGTAACATCGCGGGTTGAAAGCCAGGGTTTAACTGTGGAGAAGTCATGGCGGATGTTGCATGGCGCTGTAAATTTGACAGAAGTCATGCCATGAAGCAATAAAGACGATAAAGTAACACCAAAAGGCTGCGAGAGATTGTCACGTTACGAATTTTATTTTGATGTTTCATATTTTCATTAAATCAAACCCATGTTTTATGTGGCCTGTTTTTGATACTCAGCCCGCGCACAACTGAGGTACTTAAATGCGTAGGGGGGGGGGGGTAATTCTAGTCATGCAATGATCTAAACATGAGCGATTGTCCGTGTTGTCTCTGAATTCTATCCACATAAATGCAGAAACAAAGCTACCTGATTCCTAATTTCTTGGCATCCACAAGCTGCGTCTGGAAATTACAGGTTGGTGATTCAATAATTTCAGCTTATGAAAAGGCCAAAAGAACTGTGCGGAAGTTAAAAAGACCACACACCGTCACTTAAAAAGATTAACCGTCCATCTAGAAACAGAACCTCTTCTCGGGAACCACACAGAAGAATTTGCCTCAGGAGACATTGGTCTCGTCTGACTGACAGGAGGCGGACCGGGGCCTCACCGAACACGGAAAACGCCCTTCAGAGTCCAGACTAGCCCGACCCTCCACTCCGTCACCGATTAACGAAGAACTCCACATGCGGGACCGTCCCGGGTCGGGTCCTCTAGCCGGATAAGGTCGCAGACCCACAAGGAGCAGTCGGGAGGAGAGGAGAGAAGAGGAGAGGGTCACGGGTTACCAGATTCGTCACGGTGATCCCCCACAGGGGGAAGATGCCTCCGAGTCGCCACACCGCACATTACGGCTTCGTTCCGCCCCGACTCGACAGGGTAAACACTCGCCGGTGGTAGGGCACAAACAGGAGAGACTTTTAAATACCGGGTCCTCACTGGCTGGTCAGGTAAATGCCAGGTCAAAGGCATCCGTAAGATGGGAGGTCAGTTCTCCTCACCGCAACACATTTTATCCTGTGGCCGCTTAAGATTTTTCACATTGAATCCAAAATTCGTCAAAGAAAAAAAATGCTAAACCGTGATTCCAGTTCCACTAAAGAATGCTACCAGCGATAAATCCGTATCGATCTCCCGTCTGGCTCATCCCGGAACAAAACAGAGCGGTCCTCCTAGAGCCCGGAGAGGCACGGAGAAGCCGCCAGCTGCCCGTCAAAACATACCACAGCCGGCATAATTTGACTTCATAATCAGCCTGATGGCCGGCCCGGCACGGGTAATCGTCGAGTGGCCCGCCAGAAGGGATTTGACCGTCTCATCCATCTTCTATCGACGGCGCTCTGGAAGGGAGGAGACGCACTGCATACATTCATTATGCGTATTTATCGATGATTGAGTAGCTTTACGGGAAGGTGGAATAGCTCGGAGACGGGCTGGTACTGAGAGAACGTGACCGGGAGGATTGTGGATCGGAGTGGCACGAGAGGCACACCCCGTAAAACGTGACCACTCGTGCCTCACCGGCACCTGAAGAGGCCATAAAACGAGCGGAAACCATGGAAGTGCCACAGCAAATGGGATTGTGTTTGACAGTCGATATCGACCGATGGTACCTGGACTGGACATCCCATTCATTGGAAAAGCGAGGCCGTGCAGAATGCACCAGTCCTGGCACGTGACTTTAACAGCGAGAAATCGCCTCAAACGTAAGCTAAAACTCCACATATACCGAGCGTACAAGAACCGTATTATGAATGACCACGAAGTTGTGAAATATTTAATTAGCACAGACGAACCATTAGTAACCTAAAGGTGCTCATTCGACTTCAGAGCAATAAAATGCATCGTTCACGAAGAAATACCACTTAGCATACCATAACACTAACGTTCTTAGTGAGACATTTATTTATATGGTCCTTCGCAGAAGAATACTAAATACCCATGTCGTGCCAACCAAAGGTCGATGGTTTGAAAGATCAGCAACCGTCTTCGTTGAAAACGGCTTGATGTTTATAGCGCAACGGGCCATGCATGCCAATGACCAACAATGTATCGATAAGCAGGCAGTAAGCACGCATTCGACCAGTCGCAAAAAGGCTGAGGCCTACTCGTTGCGGTCAGGCCAGGTGGTCGAGCCCTGGCTGAGCCGTGTTCAAGAGTCGACCTCAGAGCCATCTCCCATCCAGCTAGACACTTCATGTTACGGCGCTGACGACAGATGGCGCGGCAGTAGAGGACGGTCAGCTCCATCCCAAAGCCCACAGTACGTGAGGAATTTGGCCGGTGGCGGACCGCGTTTGGGACCCAAATGACCGCCATTAGTGCGGCCCGAAGAGACCCACGAACAAAACCGCTCGGAAGGCCGGGAATCTCAGAGGTCCCGGATGTGTCCCGTTCACTACGCAGTACGCAGCGGTGAGCGTAAATCTCAATAGATCTTGTTGCCGACAAACTGCACTAGGTAGTTGGTGTTGCGGCTCATTTCGGCTCTGATCGTAGCTGCCGGGCCGGGCCGACTCGTGATCCCGGCCGGCGCCGCTCCACGCCGCCGCCGCCCCCATCCCCCTGCCATGCCGCCGGCAGATGGGCCGTCCTCGAGAGAGTTTATGGCAGTGATCGGGTGACGGGACGCTCCTCTCTCCCTGCGACCGTGTTCTACAGCTGCAGTTGTATGAAAGGATGCGCTGTTACCGGAGGGACTGACCCGGGGGGAGGGGGTGGGCTGGCGTGGCGTCGCACGTGGAACTGTGTCCCCGGCGAGTCGGAGCCGTTAGGCCGACATGTGCCGACCGCGTGGTAGGGTTACCAGGACGCTGTGTAGTGTGTAGCTTCTTTGTTATTTCATCACTTCCGTCACCATCTGTGTCCTCCCGACCCAGTACATAAACGGGGCGGGAGCAACCCTCGCTCTCACTTCTTTACTTTTCGGCGCCGAGAGAGCACTGCCTCGCTCTCTCTGGCCAACTCTTCTTGTCAGTGATACTGTGTTGTCATCGCCTATTCGCCATCTGCAATACTCACCAGTTCGGAAGAATCTTGTGTTTGTGAATGGTGAAGAGTGGAGTGCAGCGGCGGATAAGAGCACGGGAGAGTGGCACACAGTCAGTTCGCACAGTCTTCTATTTCACGGTGACCGGGTCTACTTATCATTCCTATCTGATTCCTTATTTTCCTAATACCTCTTGCTCTCTGTAAAGAGGGTTCCTTTGTCTCTCTGTAAATAGGGCTCTATATTTATGTCTTAACATGCTCTCTGTAAAGAGGGTTCCTTTGTCTCTCTGAAAAGAGGGCTC